ACTGAACTCAAACAAACAACATTTTGAACACTTTATTTCATATCTCCCTCAGAAGCTTGACAAACACAAATCAGCAGCGAAACACAAATGCCCATACATACGAACTCCTATAGTGCTGAGCTAAACAGATGATTTTATTTCTCCGTACTAAATCTACTATATTGAGTATTGATATTTTTTTCTATATTGAGTGAAATATTTATGTTATATATTTTAATTTTCTAGGTTGGTTAACATTGGCATCTGCAGTAGATCGTGAGATTCAGGAGACATATATTTTGACAATTCTGGCAACAGATAATGGCACTCCAGTTCTTTCTGCTACACAGATTTTGACAGTCACAGTGGGTGATGTCAATGATACGCCACCAACGTTTAAGCAAGCCTTCTTTGAAGCTGCCGTTCTTGAAAACCAGGAGCCTGGAGTGAGTGTGATGAAAGTACAAGCTGAGGATATGGATACTGGTAACTAAATTCTTAAAAATATAATTCTTATGTACAGTATTGCATTTTGCCCTATCTAAATTATATACAGGTAATTTATATCATCTGTTTGCTTGAGTGTGAAATTGTAAGGAGCTGACTGATCTTTAATTTACAGGGTTTTAGGATCAGTGGGTGGATTCCCTGGCTCGTGGCACCTAAACTGACCAGTGATTGTTTTTTAGAAGATTATTGAACACATAATCTGGCCTGTAGGTTAGCATGAGAGTTAAGCAGTATGGAAGTTGTCATCAGATAGTAAGTTGGTCATGATACAGTCTCACCATCACTGCCCTAGAATTAGTATGCAGCCCATGCTTTAAGACAGATTTCCTTTAAATCTTGTGTTGAAATTATTTTGGCCACACAGGGGCAGTCTTGTGCAGGATTTTATGATTTTACAATATCAGTGTGCCCATAAACTCTCAAACCATCTTCGCTATTAATTAACGTTTATTTACAAAAGGGTGAAGAGTTTGGAGAAAGCAGGAGAAGTGAACAATCTAGGACAACATAGCTAAACTGGAAAGTGAGCTGAATTGGAGAATTTTTCCCAATCAGCTATGTTGTCCTAGATTGTTCACTTCTCCTGTCTTCTCCAAACTCTTCACCCTCTTGTAAATAATCCCAAACATGTTTTATCTTTCAAAATAGTAAATATGTTTAAAATAACGCTAGGAACAATTTTATAAAGCAGTGAATGTGATATTCTCCCTAACATTCACTGGTTGGTAATCGTTCACTGCACTTGTCACCTTCAGTGCTTTAAAATATGCCACTTAAAGGAGAACTATGAGATGAGTGATTTCCACTCACCTCATAGTTCTAGCCGACCTGTGACAATGAGACTGTCACAGGTCGGCTCAGTAGATCGGGAGGTGAGCGAACACATACCAGGTTCGCTCACCTCTCGATCCTGTCACGGCTCTCTGCCGTGACAGTGGGAGGGGCTGGATTCCCCTCTCCCCGCTCCGATCTGCCAGCGCTGACTGGCGGAACGGACGGGGGCGGGGGCGGGGGCGGGTACAGCTGCGGCGTCTCAGTATACCGCGAGCTGTAGCTCGCGGTATACTGAGCTTAGGGTAACGGGAGGACGCTAGTTTGTGTCCTCCCATTACCCTAAGGAGAACTATGGGGAAAAACACTGACCCCATAGTTCTCCTTTAATGTTCATTCAATGCCCTGTATAGATTGGCCCATTGGCCTTCGACAGTCAGTTTAGTACGGTATGAAGTGGTTTGGATGTGCTAATCATAATAGGCCATATGTGCAAACATTGGGAAAGTTTAAAGAAACGTCTTTGCCTGTAATAACCACACTGATCCTGCATTGTAACTTGTGCCCAAAGAAAGCAATTGGAATGTGGCCTAATCACTCAAGTTTTATATCAGCTTTAATTAGTTCATGTTATTTCATTAAAACCCTTTTTTAAATCTTCAGCTTTCATTAATATAATACCCGGTGAAGGTCCTTGTTCAGTAACATCTTTGTTTTGGGATGACTCCTGTCTCCCAGTTGTGTCCTGTATTGTCACCCCATCACACAGGCTTCTGATGGTCCACTGTTGTCACTATTAGTAAACCCGCCTTAAAGGAGAACTATGAGGTGAGTGATTTTCACTCATCCTCATAGTTCTAGCCGACCTGTGACAATGAAACTGTCACAGGTCGGCTCAGTAGATTGGGAAGTGAGCGAACACATACCGCTGTTCGTTCACTTCTCGATCCTGTCACGGCAGAGAGCCTTGACAGGGGAGGGACTGGATTCCCCCCCTCCCCGCTCCGATCCTCCAGTGTTGACTGGCGGAACGGACGGGGGAGGTGGCGGGTACAGCTGGCTCTGCCTTTAGATAGGCAGATCCAGCTGTCACTCACGCAGCTGGGCGGATCCAGACATAATTGTCGGGATCCCTTTCAGCTGCGGCGTCTCAGTATACCACAAGCTGTAGCTCGCGGTATACTGAGCTTAGGGTGACGGGAGGACGCTAGTTTGTGTCCTCCTGTTACCCTTAGGAGAACTATGGGGAAAAGCCCTAACCCCATAGTTCTCCTATAAGAAATGCCACGCAGCCATCATTGGGGTGCATGCATGTAGACAAAAAGCGGCTGCAAAAATGGTGCAGGAGATCAGCAGCACTGAGATGCAACAAAGATGAAAATAAGTATTTTCTCTCAAATGAAAATGGTAATTGTAAATGATAGGCATTGCATTAGTAAGCTAAATGTCATTCAGTTAGGGGTTATATTTACTTAAAGGAGAACTATGAGGCGAGTGAAAATCACTCATCCTCATAGTTTAAGCCGACGTGTGAAAATGAAACTGTCACAGGTCGGCTCAATAGATCAGGAAGTGAGCGAACACATACTGTTGCTCGCTCACTTCTCGATTTTCAGTCACTGGTCCCTGCAGGGATTTCCCCCCCCTCCCTTCTCTGATCCTCCAATGCTGACTGGAGGAACTGATGGGGGAGGGGGCGGGTACAGCCTCTATATAGGCAGAGTCAACTGTCAATCACGCAGCTAGTTGGATCCCAACAGCATTGTCGGGATCCGTCCCGGCTGTGGCAGTCTCAGTATACCGCAAGCTGTAGCCCACGATATACTGAGCCTTGGGCCACGGGAGAAGGTTAGTATATGTCCTCCCGTGACCCTTAAGAGAACTATGGGGAAAAACACTTACCCCATAGCTCTCTTTTAAATCATGAGGCCTGCAGTGACAATAGGTTCTGTGGGCATGTACTGTATAATGCAAAAAATATTTTGTTATGGAATGATTACCATAAGTCTGTAGATTATAAGTGAACGGTTAATTACAATGTGCAGCAACTCCACTTGTTTGCTCATGTTCTTTTCTCTAATAAACCTCAACATGAGCTTTTCAATTACTTAAAGATTTCACACACGTTATTGTTTTTTTATTAAAGCTGGAACATTTAAAAACTTTTTGCATTCTGATTTCTAAACTGTCCTGTCACCCTTATATATATCATATACCTCAAGCTTTACATTTGCACCATCCTTTAGGGTGTGCTTCACAATACACCAGAAATATGTATGCACACAGGTAAGTTAATTTGCCAGCCGCGCATCCATCTGTAGGCAGTTGAATGTTTTAGTATGTGCACAATGATGATGGTGGCTTTTAGACCTGTCCCCTTCTATGAACACAGTGCAGCTGTAGAGTAGAGGAAATCTCTTTCTGCCTGGACTGTAAGCATAGATGACGCACTGAACTCACTAGAAAAGAGAATTAGCATCAGAAAGAATATGTAGAATGTTCATTTTATTTTGCAGGAGTCAACGCTATGCTTACTTACTACATTTGGCCAAGCCATGAGCTTTTCAGAATAATACCTGAGACAGGAGAAGTAGTTACAGCAGCAACATTTGACAGAGAGGTAGAGGACCACTATATCATCAGAGGTAAGTCATATGTCATTTGCATTGCAGGTGCTACATTATGGGCCGTATGTAAACATGCTTTAGCCGTACAGTTTTGAACAAGAATAGTAGAGATGTCTGATTATAAGATGCTTCAAATTCACAATATCAGAAATGATAGCTTAAATCATTTTTACATCATAGTGCACATTTACATATAATGTTTCTGCTGCTCGCTTTTATAGTAATTACTCTTTTATAGGTTATTCTCTGTCCAGGTCATGAATCATTTTACATATGCTATTTAAAGAACTCCGGGCAGTAGAAAACTTAAGCCTTGCAGTGGGGCTACTGCAAGGGTTAAGTGTTCATTTTGATCTAGGGCCTAAAATAACAAAGAAATACTCACCTGAATCTTGGATCTGGCTGGCTGCTAGACCAGTGACTTCAGCCTCCTCCTCCTCTCCAGCGGTCTAAGAACCCAGTGGCGTCACAAGGAGGGGGGGGGGTGTGGCTCCTTATCTTTCATGTGTACACACTTAATGCTTAATTTTTAATGCTGCAATGGTATGTATACCAACTGTCAACTTTAGTTTTGTACCAGTGGTTAACAGTTTCTTTACTCTTAGTGAGGGAGAAGACATAGAGGGTTATTTACAAAGCTGCCAAAGCTGCCTAAGGCTGAAGTGAATTGAGCCGTACATCGGCTAAAATCAGCCGTACATCTGCTGCCTTCATCTACTGTATGGGCTATTGTGAATAGCCCGTACAGCAGCCCTTTGGTTCGACTGAACTGAAGGGCTCTGGCGGCCGAAGCAAGCCGAAGGATCAGCCGAAGCTATGGCTAGATCCTTCTACTCAATAGTGCATAACCCTCATAGTTATCATGACTTCCAGACTAACTTATACCCTCCTTTAATTTTGCAAACCTTTTGGGTGGTTATAATGAGCCTGCTGTGTCACCATACATTTAAAACTAATTTATTTTATCAAGAGTAGGGGCCACCATGTGAATGGGAAGCCTACAAACTTGGAAGCACATTGTACACAGCAGTCTGTTCAAGTCATTGAAAGATGACCCCATTACAATATTAAAGGCCATCTTTCCATTCCAGTTTTCCAGCAACTTAAAAAAATTCCTATGGGATAATAGCTATAACCTTATAACTTTTTTGTCACGCATACTGCGTTATAAGGTGAAATCATAAAATATCACTAAACAATTCCCAGTGTAAACAAATAGCAAAATTAACATATATTGGTTACATACATAGTCACTGAAAGACCATATAGAGATAATAACATATTCATGTGAGTTTTGACCTTTCCTGACTTATTTTCAGCACCTCACCGTTATAATAAATTACATTATTTATATTGCCTTTCAGATTTTGTGCCTCATTGTTAATTTAGGCCTTTTCTCTAATTCTTCTATCATTAGTATTGGTGAAAGATGGTGGAACTCCCTCCTTTTCAAGCTCCACGAAAATTGTTTGTACAGTGCTAGATGAAAATGATAATACTCCTGAGCTTTTACTTCCTGAGGCTGAGATCCATGTCCCAGAAAATCAAGCTCCAGGAATAATTCACAAAGTGCTGGCTACAGACAAGGATACTGGCAACAATGGCAGAGTGCATTTCCAAATAATTGGTAATTAATAATGTTTGCTAAACTGCCTGTACAGATGCCTAACACAGCATGAAATGTAGCATTTTACCTGTATTCTGTATTGTTTGTTTTGAGGTTATGTAGGGTTCATTTAATAAAGAATGACAGACTCTAGCAGGTCCCGGCCAATAGGAAACAGTTGGACGGACCTAGCTGTCACTGCTAGCTCCACCTCCATTTTTTTATTTTTTAAAATCTTTATTTTAAAATTTTACTATTTATTAAATTTTTTAAAACTTTTTTTGTACTATTTGCCTCGGTGGCATTTGGATATTCACTGACTGACGTTCGGCCCCTATGTGACTGTACGGCTGAAATCAGCGTACTGAGCCAGAGTGAATAGCCAAACGTAGTTCTGCTCACTTCACTTCGGCTGGGTTACTCACTCGGCTGCCTTTGGCAGCTTTGTGAATAACCCCCTAAGACTTATTTGGGGTCTATGCCCATTGGCTTATGTTCACATCAGCTGGGTTTTGAATTCCTACATAAATCTATGGGAATGCAAAACCCACTTGAAGCAAATTAAATGCTGGTCAGAAGGTGCTCAACTGCAGGATCGATTCTGAATAATCTCAGAAGCATCTCAAACTAGCAAAATTAATGCCATCGACACACGCCCAAAACTCATTGACACAGACTCTAAACAACTTACATTAGAGTCAATGGTATTCAGCAACCAGTAAAGATTAATCACAGTTGCATGTGAATTACTATAGCAAATCTGAACATCTAAAGGCAACCAGCTGATTTAAACTCACAAAGATACAAATGGAGCAAAATGCTTTTGTGAATTTTTTCTCTATTGAGTAAAAGGGAGTTTTTTTATTTTTAAATTAGATACTTACATCCCTAGAGCTATGAACTTCAAATGGGATGTTACACATTACTATGAATAATCCACCAGGTTATATATTCTATATACATATTGAAATGGATTTTGTTTTTCATTGATGATCCTTTGTGACATTTTCTGAGGATATTTAAATAAGATATTTTATTTGTTTGTATTATGTGTATTCTTGTCGACGGTTAATGTAAACTGAATACATTTTTAAGGATATCAGATTAAAAGTTTGTTTTTAACTAACATAAGAGAGAGAGGGGATATCTCATAGATGGCAGATTGAGCCTCCTGCGAGAACCGCGGGCTGAGTTTAGAGGTGGTGTCTCAGTCTTTGGCACAATAGGAATTAATGTAAAAAAGCATGTTACAATTTGCTTGTCCAATGTTATTAGGATGTATTTTGTATATCTTTTATATTTGAAATAATGTTTTGAGTAGCTGAATGTTAAGTAACATTTTTTAGTATGGGGAACATGTATACAGGTGATTGAGCGTCCGTCCAGTATTGAATTGGATACTGCTAATGTAACCTGGAAGTTTTGCATCTATAAAGGGATACCTCATTCTGCCACCCCCATCTCTCTGAGTAGGCCCGTTTGGGTGAATGTGTTGAGAGGTGGGTAGTAGAAGATGTGGAGACATTTTCTTCAGTAAGGGTTTTCTGCTGCAGTGGAGTGGTGTGAAATCGACTTAGGACTTAGGCAGTTACAGTGGCTAGACTGAAAGAGGCTGCTATCAGACTGGTTTCTAGGGATTGCAGGCAGAATGCATACAAAACAAGAAGAATGCTTCCTCCAAACCATCTATTCACCAACTATTGCAGTAAAGCAAGTTTTTACTTGCTTTACTGCAATAGTTGTTGGATAGATGGCTTGGCTAAAGAAGTGCAACTCAAGGCAGTATTGAGGGGCAACCCCTTAGAAACGCATTCTAAAACAAATTGTATTTCCTTGTAGATGGTAGTATCTCAACCAAAAATAACTTTTCCCCTAGATTTAATGAGATGCTGTTTGTTTTGGAACTTGATTAGGTTTTTTCGTGTTTGTAAGAAAATGCTGCTACGTGTCCTTATGCTGAAGTGGTATTAAGATACATATTTTATAAGGTGTGTCACTTTTAAAGAAAGGATTACATCTGGTAAAGCCATTTCACAGTAACGGATGAGGGCTCCTTCATTTACTGTCAGTGCCACCCACTGATTTAAATGAAATGCAGGTTTTAATTCAAGCACAAGGCAGCCACATGCCAGAGACACTTAAACATTTGCTGTGCATGCAGAAATTCTTAATATTATTGGAATTAACAATTTTTTTCATTGGTGTTCCCATGATGACATATCTTTCCACTTGTCTGTCTTTTACTGTCAATTTTTGCTTAATGCCTCTTTTACTTTTGAAGGTGGAAACACGGGAGGATATTTTGCCATCAATAACACATCAGGGGAGCTCTGGGCCACCCGCAGCTTAGATCGCGAGGATGTCAGCAATTTTACCATCACTGTGGAATGCTATGACCTGGGCAGCCCCCGGAAAAGCACCACAGCCAAACTGCACATTAAGGTCTTGGATGAAAATGACAATCCACCTACGTTTCCTAAAAGCCAGTACCGCACATCTGTCAGAGAGGACTTAACTATTGGATCAGTGGTTCTAAGCCTTCAGGCATTTGATATTGATGAGGGCTTGAACGGAGAAGTAATGTACTCCTTGATTGATGATACAAAAGGTTTCTTCACTATAAACCAAACAACAGGAAACATTGAGACTGCAAAGGCCTTAGACAGAGAATTGAAACATCAATATGTGTTCAGGGCACTGGCAACTGACTGTAGCATCTATGGTCAAAAAAGTGCCACTGTCAAAGTTATAGTAAATATTGATGATGCCAATGATAATGAGCCATTATGTTCAATTAACCCTGTTCAGGTTCTTGTTTCTCCCCAAATCTCTGTGAATACAACAGTTGCCACTGTATATGCAAGTGACCCAGACCTAGGTTTAAATGGAACAGTGGTGTACACTCTTGTGAAAGCTGATCCACACTTTTACATTAATAGAGAGACAGGAGAAATCAAAGTCAATATGCTGCTATCCCATGTTCCCTTTACAAATGCAGTTCTCAACGTGGCAGCTTCAGACCTTGGTATCCCAGCAAAAACATCCATGTGTCTTGTTACAGTTACCCTAGAAGACCTGCAAAAATATATTTTCTTTCTCCAGAGTATCTATGAAGCCATAATACAGGAAAACAGTGATCCAGGTATGTTTTCCCTTGAAACATTATATAGTTGTTACAGTATTCTAATTTTTTTCTCCATACACTATAACATAGCCTTTAAAATACTCTTCATGGACTTGTTTTTATAGATTTGGAATGTGCTGCTATTATGCTAAATACTAAAGTATAATTCTAACCAGAACTGCTAACTTAGTTTTGTGTTGATGCCAGCTGGTTGAATCCCCCATCTCTCTACCTGAGTTTCCCAGCTATGACCACCATCATAGGCAATAGAAGAGGCCTCAGACTTTCTGTTTCCATTAAAGACAATACAGAAGACATCAATCACTGCTCTCTGATTTTGTAATAGCAACAGCATGGGGACATAACTGAGAACACAAGTAACGGGAAGGGGGGTAAGATGCAGGTTTGTGTGTGGTTAAGGATTTCTTCTTTATGCAAAAGGCCAAAACCAACATTTATTTTATCTCTTTTTATAGGGTTAGTGAACATAGTAGTGACAGTTTATATCCATCTATATATCCTACATATCATCCGTCTTTACTACTTGTTTTTTTTTTAATGCAGGTTCACTAGTTGCGACCGTAGAAGCCAGATGCCAAAATCCAAATGGAGATGCCATATTTTATAGCATTATCAGTGGTGACAAAGAGACCTTCATGATAAATTCTGAAACAGGTATATTACTACTAACTATGAATGAATACACAGTGCAGGCAACAACACAAATACAAGAATAAAAAACAGATTTGTTATTTTTAATCATTTAGAAACCTCAAACATTTTCATCTATTTAGCTCCATTATAATTGATATCTTAGCTACAAAACCAGTTTACTCTTTGAACGTTTACTTTATAAAGTGAATGTTAGTAAAAAAGGGGTGTTCAGATATCCAGTACTGTACTTGGTAAAAGTAACTTTGCCTTAGTTACTAATCACATTTACATATAAAAAGCCAGGGTTTGACTCATCCAGCAGACATCACCTATGAGTATGGTCCAGACACCATAGTGGAACTCTCTATCTTGCCCCTTAATGACAATTTGAAGCTTATTCTCCTTCAGTCATTTTCCAGAATCTTTTTTGCAGCCCTTGGGTAATACAAGCAGTTCTAACTTCACGCATGTTAAGAAATTGGCCTAGTTGGTCAAAATGGCATGTGAAATGCTGCCAGCTAAATTAAATCTACATCACACTGTTCATTTTTTGTACATTTCTTTTAAGTAGAATTGAGCAGTGTTGCTAATATTTATTTGTAGTATAAAACTGATAGAATATACCTGAGTAAATATTCTGAGTGTGGATGTTAGTTTCATTCTAGATCATTTACATCTGCTGTATTCTCTCTAACAGGAGAGCTCATGGTGAGGGAGTCTTTTTTACTTGATTCAGAAGGCAAAAATAAAATAAATCTAGTCATCGCTGCCACAAGCGGTTCTTCTGTGGCCTACTGTGGAGTTTCAGTATTGATCCAAGACGAAAATGATAATGTGCCAGTGTTTGATCGTGACCATCATATAACTTCAGTTTTGGAGGGTCAGAGCTACAACCTGTTTGTTATCCAGGTACAGTAAATGTACAGTACAGTACAGTAAATGTGCCTTTTTCCTCTTTGGGTTTGTTTTATGACATTTTAATAGTATCTACTTTCAGAAATCTATTTAAAAATTTTCTGTACACAGCTTTTACCCAATATTCATATTTTTTCAAATTGGATAACATTGAAAAATATGTGAATCCTTGGTTAAAAATTTGGGTTGGGAATCCTGTGTAGCAACATTTATAAATAGACCCATTAGAGTTACTTTTGACTAACTAACTATTTACTTTTACACTACAGAAACTGACCAACATTTAATGACAGAGACACTGATAGAATATAATTTGAAAATGTCAAACTTGCAGACAGATAAGTACCAAATAAGTGCAATGCATAATGAAAATCATGAGATAACTTTTTAGTATATGTATAGGCAATTTTTCTCATTGTTTTAGGTTTGGATATGGTAGAGAGATTTCCTTTTCTTTTTTGACCTTGGAACATAACGGAAAATATTTTTAAACTGCGCAGTATTCCCCTCTTAGACAGCTCTAACCAGAAAAGGGTCCCTATCTGGGAATTCCCCTCTACCCATAGTGACAGCTGTAGCATTTTGGATCCCCAACCCTTTTTTTCTGTCCTGCTGCTAGAGTTTACCAGTCCAGGACAAATAGAGAGGGTGGATATCTCCAGAGGAGATACAGATAACAGTAAGAACCTGGCAAAGGTTGCAACTCTTCTTCAGTTTATGCAAAACTGTTTCAGTTGTGAGATCCCCTTCATTTGTTAAATGTTTGAAATCTACAAGATACAAAAATAATAATAATAATAACTAGACATGTGAATTTAGTTTGGTTTCATTATTTAGTTTTTTGGCAATCGGGGTCTGAAAGTCAATTTGTTTCGGCATTTGGATTCGGATGAATCTGAATTTCCTTAATTTCAGATGAGTTAAATGATCATTTCCAACTAAAATTAATTTCAGAAAAGTAACATTACATGTCTTTTTAATTTCTGACACCACAAACAAACAAAAAAAAGAGTGGGTTCCCCCCAATTCATACCAGATCCTTTAGGCCTGGCAGGAATATTATGACGGACCCCCTGATGTATAAAGAAAGCAAAAAACCAGCATGCGGTTCCCCGACAATTCATACCAGACCCTTTAGGTCTGGTAGGAATTTTAAAGGGATTCCCCAGCACCAAATAATTGCGGGGTCCCCCTTAAAATCTTTTACCAGCCCCTTAATCCGGGCAGTAGCCTAGCTGGGCAGGAAAGTGGGGATGAGCGAGCGGCCCCCTCTCACTCCACCATACCAGGCCACATGTCCTCAGTATTGGGAGGGTGCTATTCCAGGGGGGGACCCCTTGGAAAAGCACCTTGTCCCCATGCTGATGGGAACAAAGGCCTCCTCCCCATAAACCTGACCCAGTGGTTGTGGGGGTCTGTGGGCAGGTGGTCTCATCTGCATCTGGGTACCCCCATTTGTAAAGGGGGCACCCAAATGCCACCCCCTTGTGAATGTGTAAGGGGTACTTGTAGGTCAAAAAATCATGTTTTGTTTTCGTTTTAAAGGATTTTTTTCTAAGGTGTGCGCTTTTTTACATTTTATTTAACCATTTAGTGAATGAGCAGGGGTACAGTTACCCCTTATTCATTCACAAAATAGTGGCATCTGGGTGTCCCCTTTATGAAAGGGGGTACCCAGATGCAGATGAGCCCTTCTGCCCACAGACCCCACAACCATTAGGTCAGAGTTGTGGGTATGAGGCCCTTGTTCCCATTGGCATGGGGACAAGGTGCTTTTTCAGGGGGTCCTCCTTGGTAAAGCACCCCCCCAGTGCCGAGGACATGTGGCCTGGTATGGTGGAGGGAGGGAGGGGGTGCTCACTCATTCCCCCCCCCCCACTTTCCTGATTTGCCAGGCTGCTGCCCGGATTTATTGTCTGGTATGGGATTTTAGGGGGGACCCCACATTGGGGTTCCCCCTTAAAATTCCTACCAGACCTAAATGGTCTGGTATGAATTGAGGGCGATCCCACGCTGTTTTTTTCAAAATTATTATTATTTCTTTGAACAGTTAAACACTTATGTGTATTCTGTTACAGCTGTCAGATTCTTTACATTGGGGATGGAAGCGTCCTCAAAGGATCAGAAGCTGTTACAGATTAACACAGATTTTTCAGCTTCTTTCATTATTTACGTTTTGTGACAATTACTTTGTTTTCATTTGAGATATAAGTGCAGAGAAGCCAGAGAGCGGTAAATGACAACTCTCCCGCTTGTTGTGTTTCGTTTTCCAAATGAAATTTGGATGTATCAGAATTTTGTTATCAAACATTCGGATTCGTTCAGATTAGTTATTTATGTCATTTGGAAATTTAGATGCATCCAAATGTCCGAATTTACAGAAATTCATACGAATTTCAATTCAGAACATCGACATATGTAATAATAGTAACAACAGGCTATGTCTGAAAGAATGGATATCTGTCACAAAGTAACCCAATCAAGGTCAATAGACTGATTTATTAAAGGCATAAAAAGAGTGAAGATTTACTTCATGTATCCACTCAGGTGTAAATTAAATAAACAGGTATTTGGTTTTCAGATGATTTGATAATGGAAGTACATTTTTTAATGAAGATTCCTTTAACTCAACCTCCAAATCTCACTTCTCAGTGATTGTGTAAATATTCAATTGATTGTCCAATCATATTAAGAGCAAATCCTGTCCCCTTTTAATACCCAGTCATGTACAGATGCTTATCACATGATTTGATCATTAAAGTGAATATTTTCACAATTTTTAAGTGAAGATTTTAAACTCATTTACTAAATCGAATTCAACATTTCAGGTGTTAGCTTCATCTGTGTAGGTGAAAGTAAACTGAATAATTATCAAATTTGCACCGATTTCAGTTTTAAGTGAAATTCCATCTATAAAGTAAAATATGTTTTGCTAATACAGAAATGTACTTTTATGTAATATTTCATTACCACTAGATTTATAGCATGAAAATGGAAGGAAATGGTATGAGATTATAAATGTTCTTTGCCTGAGACCACAACATAAATTTGTTAATACTCCACTACTGCTGCTACTGCCAGTTGATATATTTTCTGTGCTTTAAGCGCCCAGCTACATAATTTATAACATAAAATTTAGAGTTTAGAAAAAGAGTTTAGGCTCCAAATACTCACTGCTGAGTTTTTTTGTCAGCCATTTTCCTACCATGTATTGAAAGTAAGTTCAGGCAAAACTGACCACTTTCTATCATAATGCACTATATACTGTATACTATAAATAACAATTTATTTTTAAATAACATTGACACATACTGAAAAGCTTGCCTGACTTCGGACCTATGTATCTCCATATTGTATATTTTTGTTTATTGGTTTGGGCGGTTGCATTGTCGTACTATGTGCTGCCATTCCTTTCAAAAGCCCTTCTATTGTGTGTCAAAGGAAACAAACTTTTCTGGCCAACATATATCAACGCACTGCATAATTTTTAAATACCAGCATTAAAAAATATGGCAAACCTTTGCAGATGTTATTAAGCTGCTTGTGTTATAGCACATTTGTGTGAATGGGCCCTTACAGAGAACATTAAACCTTAATAATAACGGGTGAACAAGATGGTCAACAAGACCAAAACATGTACAGTATAATTTTATGGTTATACTTTAGCCAGTGTATTAGGCTGGTCTGTATTAGTTAGGGTTTGCAACCCACGGCATAAGTTGCCACTTGCTTTCAATAGATTTAAGGCTTGGAGCATAGTTAATTTAGTCATTACTATAAGCGACATGCTAATGTGTTTTAGGACACTGCTTCTTTTACTTTTATGCACTTTGTGATTGTAAAACAATGTTTATCTATAAATTAATTCAGATTTTTTGGCATGGCTCTCCTTGCCTCCAAATATTTATTATACTGCAGTAATAAAAAGGTTTGCAGTGTAATGTTTACATAATTCTTGTCTGTTTTATAGGTTTTTGCCACTGATGCAGATAGCGGTCTGAATGGGCAAATCGATTACTCATTTGTAGATGGCAATGAAAATCAACCTTTTTTAGTAGATTCCAGAAGGGGAATTATTACTACCAATGCTATTCTTGATCGGGAAATAAAATCCTCGTACAGGTTTGTTACAGTGTTATCAGCAGGTCTTATTTTGTAGGTTGTTTTATGTATTTTCAAAAAAGTTGTGGTACCTGTTGATCTGACTTATGTGTGAAAAGCTATATTGTGTTTTGTCTGTGAAGGTTCTCATTCATCCAGGTCATGGTTTAGTTTCAAGAAAAATGCATCTACACCTTGGAATTTAGTAGTATCCGAACAAACCGCACTATCCAGAGAATTCCAATACTTCAGACTTTATGGTGAAACATGTGAGAGGTTGTAGCTGGTTGGGGTTTGCGATGCTGGTATTTGCTGCTTTATACACTTGTATTCACTGTTATACTGGATTTGCTGTGAATTTCAATAAAGACTGAAGTATTGGAATTCTCTGGATAGTGCGGTCTGTTCTTATACTGAAACGTAAGAATATGGTCATCCCATATGTAGCTGGGGTGTCTGAAAGCAGCAGTTACACCAGGATATGGCAAAGCATAGAAGAGCAAAACCCTCTGGTCAGGATTCAGCAGTGTACCATACATCTTAAGGAAAAAAGGTCCCTTCTTTGAAGACAGTCAAGTACACTTTCTAGACAGGGAGGAGGACTGGTTTAGAAGAGGTGTAAAAGAGGCCATTCATTGGGGAGGGGGGAATCCAGCCCCTCCCCTGTCACGGCAGAGAGCTGTGACAGGTTCGAGAGGTGAGCGAATGCCGGTATGTGTTCGCTCACCTCCCGATCTACTGAGCCGACCTGTGGCAGTCTCATTGTCACAGGTCGGCTAGAACTATGAGGCTGAGTGCAAAGCACTCACCTCATAGTTCTCCTTTAACACCTTTCTCTCTGCAGATTAATAACACCTGCTAGCTCCAGTAGTGCAAATGCATCAACACCTTACCTCCATGTAGTCTCTGACCCCATGCTGGTTATGATTAACAGATTATGTTGATTGGAGCAACATGCACCATATTTATTCCCAGATAGTTTTTGTACAAGTCATTCTGAATTGAGAAAGCTGGTTGGATGACCAGTGAAATGTCTTCAAGAAAAATACAGCAAGTCCAGTTGCCTTGATTAATTTTTTTCAGATGTATTGTGTTTTGAATATTGGCTTTTCCAATATCTCCTCTTTAGTGCTGATTAGTTGACTAATCATATGCTTGTGATGTGCACTATGATGTCAGCATGAAAATTGCAAGTTTTATATAAAAATGATCACCATCTCATCAGATGTGATTTTGAATTCAGAGGAAGAACTAGTGGGGGAACTAGTATCAAAAATGGGTGCGTAACTATACACATCAGTGTCTGCCCAATACTAAAATATGAGTTTTAATTGATGTAGCCTTAAACGAAGGCTGCATTAAAATCAAAATGGAGCCCAAGGCTAGGTAAAGGTTTTTAGTAACTGAGTTAATTTTGATGCCTTTGACAGAGCAACATTTGCTTGATTGGATATTTACTTCAAATGTTAAAAACAAACATTACATATCTTTGTTTCTAACTGTGGACTTGAAAAGCCTGCAAATAAATACCGAGTTATGTAAAGCAGCTGATATGCTCACAATCTTCACAGAAGAGAGTGAGTTTTATAGGTATTTTTACTACTCTTATTGATTTATACCAATTATGAGTAAAGTCAGTGCTAAATCAGCATTTGGATGGTTATTTATAAAGGGCAGATTTTATAACTGGACTCCAGGAAAACAGCTAAGTGCAGAGTTGACCTTAATATGTTGGAGTCATGATACCTGCCAAAGGATCGTATTTCTTACACAGCCCTGTCTGCCTGATATGACTTTTCTCTGTTGCAGTTAAACAATGCAGTTATGTCTCCTCCCTGTGATTGAACAGTTAAAGAGGCATGTTATCCAAATCGTCAAAATAACATGAAAGACACCTTTAGAAATGTTTAGTGATGACAATCTACAAACAGATACTTCTAGATAATTGCAGACTTTATTTTTTTGCATACCTTTTTTTTTTCTTCCCCTGTCTTCTGACAGTGTCCATTTTTTATTAAGAGCAGATGAATCCATCTCCTTTTCTACTTCCTAGAACTAGAATGTGACTAGGACATGTGACCATGTACATCATCTCAGGGGAGAAACATGCTTTTCCCTGAGATCTTGTGAGATTACAGATGAGATTTCCCAGCAATGTTCTACTGATGTAACCTTCCCAGGATGCAACTCTTGGGCATGATTACAACATGTGTGCCAAAGTGGACCAAGAAGTAGAACAAAAAATTGTACGTAAAAAAAAATATGTTTGCTTAACTAATGAATGTAAGATGATTTTCTAGCAGCATGCAGAGTTGCATGCTGATGTGAGTTTAGTGAAAGGGGGTAAGGGTCCACTTTAAGGAGCAGCCACAGAGTTTCTTCTTATAAGCATATTCCTTTTCAACAGATGTGAATGCAGGGCAAACTTTAAAGCTTAGCATTATTTCATTAAACATATTAACTCTGACCTACATAAAACTAATCTAAGCAATAGCTAGATTATTTTGCTCTACCTAAGTAAAGGTGAAATATTCCAGTGATATCTATTCGGCTTGGCTGTTCTGCCCAACAGTTTTCTATTGGCCGGCGGTTCTGCTGCCGTCAAAAAAAAGAAAAAAAAAACCTCTCCCGGGCGCTCCGGGAGTCTCCCGCTCCTGGCCGCCCAGGAGACAAACACTGCTTTTTCTTTTTTTTTCTTTATTCTGACAATTTTTGGGAATGCATTGCTAGATTCCTATTGGCTATTTCAATTTGCAATAGCCAATAGTAAACTAGCATTGCACCCGCCCTCTGCTGATGGACCTGATGGAGAACTGCAGCAGAGGGCGGGTGCAATACTAGTTTACTATTGGCTATTGCAAATTGAAATAGCCAATAGGAATCTAGCAATGCATTCCTATGGGCAAAAATAATGTTATTTTTTTTGTATTCTGACACAGCTCCGTGTCAGAATAAAGAAAAAAACAGAAAAAGCAGTGTTTCTCTCCTGGGCGGCCGGTTTGCTGCCTGGAGATCAGTGTCCCTGGTTAGCAGGAAACCAGGGACGCTGATCTCTCTGCAAGTGGCCAGAGCCAGCTGTAAGATCGTGGCTGGCTCCGCCCAACTGTCAGAAGCAGGCTGTCGGCCGGCCGCTCGGCCAGCTTCGGCTTTCAGCGCGTCTCAGCCGAGGCATATGCCTTCGGCTCGACTGAGCCGCTCGGCTAAGTTCGGGAGCTGTACGGGCTATTGTGAATAACCCGTACAGCAGCCCTTCGGTTCTACTGAACCGAAGGGGTCCTGGGGCCGAAGCTAGCCGAAGGATCGGCCGAAGCTACGGCTAGATCCTTCGGCTGCTTCGTGAATAGACCCCATTGTTTTCCACTTAACCTTATGCCAAAAATTTACTCCAGCCTAAATCTGGCATTGTCTTTATTTTAGTAGAGAAAGACTAGAGAAGGAATTTAGTTCAAGGTGCTTTGAGATTTAAACATTTTGCATTTTGGCAGTTTTTTGCTGTCTGTCTACTTGTCACAGTTTTGTTACATTTCTTGTTAGCGTTGCAGCTTCCAGTGCCAATATTTTATGAATAGGAAGTAAACAAGTTCGCAGCAGAATGTGGTTAAATGAACAAAACAGTTTTGCTGATCTCTCTTTACAGTAATTAGTAATTGTGGCAGAAAATACTACAGTTTTCTTAGTGTTTAAAAATGTAATTTAAATAAAAATAGACATCAAAAACACATTGCTAAACAAGTGGCTTAATACATACCTGTCCTGTTTCCCATTAATGGAGAGCAAAGCCTCCCCTGGAATCTTCAAGGTATGTCGTATGCCTCCATCCACCAGCCCCTAAGCTACTTTGTCCTCTATCGATATATGCCTAATGGATATTATCACATACATCGGCCTCCCAGCTAAGGCAATAAATCTTGCATGTACTTTTATTATTTCAATCATCTGAAGTCTGTCTCCAGCCAAACAATTTTTTGGGATAGAGTGAGGAAGGGTTAAACCATCTGGTATGTTATAGATACTTCCCAGATTCAGGAGATTTTTCTGTCAGATTTGAAAAGCCATCTCAGTCACTAAAGAGGGAATTTCCCTTCTATTCCTATTTGTTTGCTACCCATGCACAGGAATGAGGGGAAACTAGAAAATGTATTTATAGTGTTGTCTGTGTCCCTGTTAGGGTTGATTTCCTGTTCTATGTGACACAAGAAGTGGACATATTTTCAATAATTTCTTGTTCTGCATGGCATTGGTTATATAAACAAGATAAGGGAAGTACTTGTCCATTCTTGGTACCTGTTATGATGCAAAAACTGCAGTAACATAGTTGACTAAGAATTAGGTCTCCCAGGGAATGTAATGTTGAGCTATGAATTGTCTTTGTTTTATATCATAATTAACGGATGCAGGCTCCAAACAATTATTGCTCATATTGATACACTGCAATCCCTGGGAAAGTGCAAGTGATATAAAGGCAGCAGGCCAACAAAACACTTACTGAGTATGTGGTGGTAATCTGTTCCAAAATGCTAGTAGAGAACTTGATCGCAAATATTGTTTTGCTGATTCAATTAAGCAATACATTTTTCTTATTCATCCGGGAAATTACATTACCAATTTCTATTTTCATTAGAATTGAATTAGTTATACCTACTAATACTGAGCCACTCAATGATTTAGAAACCTGTCTCTCTCGTCATGCCAACTGATTTGTATTTGTTTCCTGTAATGTAGATGTATACAGATATAGTAGCAGTGCCAGCCAAATGTTGCTACTTAAACAAAAACTCGGGTACCCAATCCCAGCTATTTGAACAGGAAATCAGGTATCTAACCCAGCTACTTAAACATAAATTTAGGTATCTAATCCCAGCTACTTAAACAAGATTTTGGATATCCAATTCCAGCTACTTAAACAAAAACACAGGTATCTAATCCCAGCTACTTAAACAGAGGCTTGGATATCTAATCCCAGTTACTTAAACAAGAACTCATATATCTAGTCCCAGTTAGTTAAACAAGAACTCAGATATCTAATTCAAGCTACTTAACAACATCTCATGTATCTGATTTCAGCTGCTAAAACAAGAACAGGTACCTAGCACCAGTTCCTTGAAAAAAAAAACTCGGGTATTTAGTCCTGGCAGCTTAAAAAATAACTGAGGTATCCAATCCTAGCTATTTAAACAAGAACTTAGGTAACTGTTCCCAGCTACTCAAACAAGAACTCAGGTATCTAATTTCAGTCTTATTTATGACTAATTATGTCGCTAATTTTCTTGATAATTGTCCCCCTATGAGTTCTTTGTTACATGGTCTTTCTTCTCCTAAACCAAGCTTTGGCCTTACCCAGAAGTTTTCAATGGGGTTCAGCTCAAGGCTGTTGCCTAGCCAATCATTAACATTAGTACAATTTGATGAAAACCAGTCCTCTACAGCATTGTCACTATGTCAAGGAACATTATCTTAATGGACATGAAATTCCCTTTTAAGTGTGAGAGAGATGAAGAGCATAACGACTTTTCATTATACTCCTGTGCAGTTCCCAAACAATGAGCATCCAACTGAATATCCCTAACCCTGTAGGGAAACAAAGCCCCTTCAGCTGTACTGCTGTATGCCAAACAATCTTCTCATATGTTTGGATATAAAACAAAATTTAACAAAGTACTTTCAAACCAATACTGAGTGGTATCTAATATAAAAGCCTGAAAAAACAAATAGGAAAGCGTATAAATTAAAAAATACCTGCATCGAAGCAAGGCAAAAGGGAGACATTCATTGTAGAAGAAAATGAATACTCTTCAAGATGAAGCACGGTCCATTAGTCTCCCTTTAATGTAATTGTCTAACATTTGTTATGGTGTAAAATTGGCTTGAAATCCAGAGGTAGTGTTTTAGAAATAACAAGTCATTAATTATAGATCTCAGAGAACAGTTTAGTGGGGCTTGGATTCATCGTGCTGGCCTTTGACCATTTCACACCCCGCTATAACAATAAATCATTTCTGCAGTCTAACAAACAATATATGTTACGAGTTACTCTTACAAAAAGTAATTTTACACCACTACTTCCAAATTGTCTCGTTTTATCTTTAGTTTTCCGTGGATCATTATTTTTCCTGTGAGATTTAAATGCCAGAATTGGTAACAATAGCCCTAACAGTCCGTCAATCATAATAATGAGCTATTTTTGGACAGAGCTCTATAAATGCTCACTTTACAATTTACAATGCAAATCTCCTTTAAATCTTACTTTGAAATCAATATAGCATTCCTTTTAGAGTGTACTAGAAGGAGAGAACAAGAGCTAGTGTTAAGGACGGCTGGTTGAGAGCTGCCTCATTCTGACACCCATTGGAGGATGCATTGATATTAAATGATAAGATGCCCATTTTCCACCAGTATTTGAAGCTGTCAAATGCTAAAACGGGTTCCATTAAAAACATGTCTTTCCCAAATCAAAATAATAAACTGCTAGTTCACACCTATCCTATCTCTCTGTCTGTCTATCCTATTTTCTCCTCTGCAACAGCCCACTTCTATACTATGTTAGCCTGTATTTGTCGAAATAAAAACAGATAGATGTGATGTATTAGAAACTGCAGAAGGGACAAAAGACATTTGCAGTGTATGAAGCATACTATTATAATTTAGCATTGTAACTGCAGTAGAAATCAGTGATACACCATTAGAGCCAGAAGCAGAACCATGTGACCAGTGGTATATCGGGGAATAGCAGAAGATGTATTGCGACATTCCTTACCGGAATTGATAACCTGCAAGATGCAGGTGGGTGCTCGTAGTGGTATGGGGCCGTGATATACATGTAGTTTTCAAAGGATGTCACCAGCACACCATAATCTTTGCTTAATCAGCAAAAATCCATTTATTGAAAAACAATGGTCATTCAAATGCAAACGTTTTTCGGGGCCGCACAGGGTCCCCTTCATCAGGCTTAGAATTTAAAAACTACAGTGGTAAATCAAATCAGTAGCTTTGCTACTAGTGGCCAGTACTGTATTAGCATGTTACCAGACAAGCCACCCTGCTCCTTAGATATGTCTCCTCATATTTCATCATCTCTACAGCTCATTGGTTCTCACTCACAATGAAATACAAGGGTGCCATAAAATGCAGAAAAGTGGATGGAAATTAAACAAAAAATATATTTAAATGGGTGATGACCTGCTAGGACAGTGATTCTATTATCAAAAATGATTCAAATCCATGTGGCAGAAAACAATGGCTTTGTTAAATTTGTCATACTATGTACATGGTATATACATATATACTTAAAAAATGGAAAACTATAGTGGTTTTAATCAATAAAAGTTTACTTTATTTCTAAAATGTACCAGTTTATACAATGATGTTTGTATATTTCATTATTTGCATATATTTTAAAAATAAACATTTATTTGCAGGTTGCTTCCAAGATACAGTTTTGAAAAGTATGCTGGGATTGCTAATAAGAAAGCCAATTACTAGTTCCTTTTTGACTGCTCATGCAGATAGAAAAAACAGGGCATCATCTGTACTAGGGGAGAGGACAGAAGATGTGTCCCTCCTTTCACTCATGTGGTGATGATTGGTCATGTGGTCATGTGGTCATGTGTCATTTGGAGTCCTGTAGGTTGATTTACAACACAGACTATTCACAACATAGTAGTAACAAAGTGTGGTGTCTAGGTGTCTCTGCCACCTCAGAGTTGCTACCTGCTGATTGCAAATACAAACATTAATGTGCAATATTAATGTTTACAATACAAAAATTAATGGCAATGTATCACATTTACACATCGAAACATATCAAAGAAGACTACACCTTCCTTTTAAATCTATGCATTACTAGTTGTATTTAAAGGGTGTTTTACTGACTATATATACTATATATTATACTGTTGTATAATAGTATTTTTGCATTTAATATTCCGTTTGACTAAAATGGTGTATTTAACGAGAAAATTTCTTTTATTTTTAGACTGGTTCTTCAGGCTGCTGATAGAGGATCTCCAAGTCTTTCTGCAACAAGTATAGTAACAGTATTGGTTGCAGATATAAATGACAACGCACCAACTATCCCTCCCCTGGAGACCATCTACATCCATGAAGGTAAAATAATGATAAATCATTCACAGTTGAGTATTTACCTCTAATTTGTAACATATCAAGATATCCTCTTAATACACTGAATGTAAACTAAGAACTCTGTGCCATTTCAGATGCTTCTCCTGGTTACACTATAATTTGTGTAATTGCCAATGATGTGGATCTAAGACCAAACGTATCATACAGTTTTACTGAAGATGGTAACCCTGGTATGAAATTTGACATTGATAAATACACTGGTGTTATAACCCTTACTGGGTTGTTGGATTATGAAGAAACATCACAACATCACCTTAGGATCCACGCATCTGATTACCTGCATCTAACTGAAGCAGAGCTTACCATTCAAGTGTTGGATGTTAATGATAACCCTCCACTATTTACCAAAGATTCCTATAAGGTAAGCATACAGAAATACAATTCCCAAAATGTAAAGATATAGAAGCAGGCCTGTATGTAGATACAGAATTTTAGGTTAACCTATTGTGTCTGGTAACCACAGGAAATGACTGCACACTACCCACACCATCTGAACCTCCTATTCCTTAGGCAGCCCTTGGGTTTTCACCAAGTACACCACTCACGGCTCTATTGCATTTTGTGCTTAGGCTGACATGGTGACACATCCCTAGGGTTAAATTGTTTGTAAATGACATACATTTTCTAAACCTCCGCAATAGATAATGAGCACTTCTGATGCTTTTAATTGTTTGTTATCTTTCATAAATCTTCTTCAACACTAACATATTGTAGGGACCCTGCCATAAGCTAGAGGGTCCCTTATTTTAATTTAGTATTGCAGCTAGGCTGTAGTCAGCCTGAGCTCTGAATTGTTATTCTTTCTGCTTTAATTGCGCTTCCCCTAAGTTCAGACTATTGTTTACTTCTGCCTGTTGCTTGGTACTGTCTCTGGCAGAAAGATCAAAAAGAAACAATATGATATACAATTATGAATATGTATATCTCTCTGGCAAATCCGAAGGAGGTTTACTGCCAGTAATGCATGATGGGGAACGGTATAAATATTTTGGGTGACCTCGCAGAAGGATCTTTGCTTCTAAGGCTTTGTCTGAGGAGGAAGCCAGTGCGGTCTTGTTTTCTTTCCTCCTGGTGGGCATTGATTGGTTTGTTCTATCTTGCTGAATCATCTATGGAAGAAGTGTCCTGCTGAAGAGTATTCTGGAGAGTTGAGTACAAGCTGCTACTGGTGGACATTGCAAGAGGGCCCTGTCTACTTACTTCAGGAGGTATTAAGAAGGATCAAAGGTCGATAAACTGTATTGACTAGCAGGGAAATATGGAGCTGCTTTTTTGTCATTTTTTGGGTATTTCCACTTTTGCGGCCAAATTGGGATAACACCTGCGTTATATTGATCACATGTTCCCAAACACACCACATAACTTTAAAAAAATGCTTCTTACCTTTATACTTGCTTTTTTGGTAAACATCTTAGTTAGCTTTCCCTTTCTATGTACGTATTTGTATGTATATCATATGTATATTACAAAGGTAGCTGTGGAGTTATGTTTACCATGATTAACTCTGTCTGTACTGTGCTGGGAGATTTCATTATCAGTTGTAAACTACATGTGGACACTGCCTGTCCTATCAAAGGGTTAAAGTTCTCAAGGCTTGGGTGGTACATTGCATGTGAAAACTGTCACTTAGTGTTTCCCTTATCTGCATTTTACCATCTATTCAGTGCAAAAGGAGCTGCCTATAGAGCCCTATGTATAATCCTGTGTAACCAGTTTAGTTGCGCTAGGATAAGTGTAAAATCACCAGCTGCAACAATGTATATAGCCGTGATTAATGTGAGCAATTATGTTGCGCTTGGTTGTAAATAATCTTCTTCTAATACGTAACCTCTATGTATTAAATATCCTAATACATGTTTTAACCTTGGTGAAACCAATAATTTATATTTATTGTGCTGTATGATAAGTGAAATAGACGAAAAAATAAAAATAAATTACAATATATTAAAAATATATTAAAAATTTGAAATAAATAAATAAATGAACTTAACCTGTGTTTAGTTCAATATTTTGTTCTATCAAATAATTGTGTTTGTGAGGTGCACAAATTCCAAGCAGCTTGTGGTGATGTCTAGTGTGTCTCACTTTTCCCTTATATTGTTGTGTAATGGTGAGGAGTACTGTGTGATTATGCTCTTAGTATCGATGCATATGTGGGTTAAACAAGAATTTCAAAGTGATAAATTGATCGCATCACTCGATCCAATAAACAACTATTCGACTCAGAATTCGGGTAATAATAATAATCGCTTAGATGGATAAAGCATTTACCATAAGTACCAAATCAAATCAATATTCACAACCAAGCGCAACATAATTGCTCACATTAATCTATGTATAATCCTGCTCCAAAGAAACAATTAGAAAGGTTAGAAATATTTTCTAAATTATTTTTAGGTATGTTGTGTGAATGGGAACAAATTAAAAAACATGTAATGTGGGTTTCTTAAATTTGACTGCAATGGTAGAAATACTCTTTAACCCCTCTACCTAGTTTTACAACTTTGGCAGATGTTAGTAAACCTGTACATATCTTTGTATCTAGGTGAATTATACCTTGTTTTTTTCAGAACAAATTGTGCCTTCATTTAATCATAAATGTTAACAAATATCTTCTGATTTTTTGGGGGGGATTCAAAGAAAAACTGACCCAACATAAAAAATATATATATATTTTTGAAAACTGTTGCTGTATGTTTCTTGCCATTACCACCACCCACCACCAAAAAACAACCCAAATACATTTTTCTTACCATGACCTGCAAGTGGATACCACATACTAAATGTATGCATTATTGGATGTCTGTAGCCGTAATAGGGCCCAGAAACAATAGTGCCCATTTTTTCCTTCAGAGAGGGAAATCTAATTATCATCTATTGCACATTCAATGCATTACAGATACTTTGAAGTATGGAACTGTTCAAAATACAATATAACCATTCCCTTTTGGAAAATAGACCTCCATCCCTAATACCCAAAAGTTACTTTTAAGGGTTTACCAAAATCCTTGTAAAGTGCTATGTAAACTGCTGGCCCTTTATAAATATTGTATACTATAATACTGTATAATATTAATATCAAGTCCTGATCAAACTGATCTATTATTTTATCTTTATTATTTTTTATTACAGACACTTTTCACTCTCAGGGCTTATGTAAAAAGAATATATTTTTTCTGCACCTGATCAATGAAAGTGCATGCTGAAAACAATTGTTTTCTATGGAGTCTATGAAGGATAGAAATCACTGGCACAACAAGCACACTGAAATCAGCCGTACAAGTCTGAAGTGAATAGCCGAACAGCGTTCGGCTATTTCACTTCAGGTCGGTTATTCACTCGGCTGCCTATGGCAGCTTTGTGAATAGATCCCTATGTGTTCCCATCACACCACAAGGTAGTGGAAGATGCAGAGCGGAGATCTACTGTGGTGCATAGAACTGAATGAAATGTTTTTTTGTGACATTTCAATGAAATAAGAAAAAAGAAAAAAAGTATAAACCGTGACTTGAGTTGTAAGAAAAGCAAGGCACCACCCACCAGTCTGTGTGGTAAAACAGATAATTTTAGCATGCAGGCGGGTGTTGAAGAGCCCATATAGAAGGTCTCTACAAAGATACAATGGGGGGAATTTATCAAAACTGGAGCAGACAGAATCTGCAGCATCTCTCTTCAGTTTGCTCAGTTGGGATAGAAGCTTATTGGTTGCCATGCAAATCTGCTCCAGATTTTTTCTGCTCCGGTTTTGATAAATTCCCCTCAATTTATCTTTTTCTCCTCACAGATGTTCTAAGCTAAAAGAGATACAGGGAAGCTTCCCAAACAAATGATCGCTGTGATTGGCTGTCATAATGATCCCTCCTACTGGCTCCCAATCATTACCCACAGTGTTGGGGGTGTTCTATTAGCATGGCATCAGGCACACTCCATGCTGCCACATAAATGTTTTTGGCCAATGGGAAGGGGCTAATGCATTGTAGGGCCTGTCTACGACAATGTTGAAAGAGGACCATTGGGGATTATTTTAGTCTTTTTTTTAAAAACATATCCTTTATTTAAAGTAACTGGAAAATGTGTGACTGTTCGTGAACAGATCATTTTAGATCCAGTGGTATAGAGGCTTTCTGGGTGATTTATAACACACTGGCATGCAAATAAATTTATTCTGTCATGCAACGCTGTAATTAAATTATTTTAAACTGTTTTTTGGGGACAGATAGAGCTTTCTTTTGGTGGTGTTTAATCACCACTGGGGGGTTTATTTTTACTATACAACAACAAAAAGTATCGTAGATTTTGAAAAAAAAAACTTGTTTCCCTAGGAAATGTTATGAAACATTTATTATCACCCCAAATTTTTGGTAAAATATAAAAGAGGGGGTCACGTTGGGTAAATAGACATCAAACATGTCAAGCCTTAAAATTGCGGGCACGCACGCAAAATCGCAAAAAAAAACGACTACACCCAAAATTGCCCATAGGCAACGCTTTAAAAGCTTTTACCGCTCATCATTTTAGTTTTATCAGTGATTCAATTATTACTCTCACTCCAACGTTCGCAGTGATATGTAACATGTGCAGCACAATAGGCACAATCGTCGTTTTCACACGTAGGCGCACCCAACGCATGTTTGCGTGTGTATGTGGGGGGCGGGGGACTTTTAAAAAATGTTTGTGTTTTTTTTTTCTTTATATGCAACCATTTTTTTTTTGCTTCTTTCATTTTTTTTTAATTTTGTAAAAATGTTTTTACACTTAACTTTATTGTTATTACATAGGGGGCTTATGTAAAATTAGCTATGTAAAAGCTAATTTACATGACAGGTTCTCTTTATGGAGACATCAGGGGTCTCCAAGACCCCTAATGTCACCTAGGGACCACAAGAGAAGCTGATAAAGCAGAGATCTTCTCCCCGGCTTTTGTAGCCGGGAATGACAGCTGAATGTGGAAGTGATGTAATATACATTACTTCCTGCATTTGTGGACCGGAGAGGAGATCAGAGGGAGATCGTGTACTGATTTCCCTTGATCTTCGGTGACAGAGCCGCCGTGCCTGTCCCGGCAGCACCGAGCACAGCAAATCTCGGGGCCGGCAACGGCGATGGCGGGGGGGGGGGGGCACACCTGCACCTAATACAAGCGATCGGGCGTCTCTACAGAAGCCGGAACGCATGTATGTAAACAGCCATCGCTGGTTGTTTACATTTTTGACAGTTTTGCCACTCATGCACGAGTGGAGGCACGTTTTAAGATGGCCACCCGCACCCACAAGGCTCCCGTCTGGCCGTTTAGTTACAGCCAATGAACGGGAGATGGTTAATCAAAACTCAGCCCTTCAAAACATAATGAGGGGAATGTATCAAAACTGGAGCAGACAAAATCTGGAGCAGATTTGCATGGCAACCAATCAGCTTCTATCCCAACTGAGCAAACTGAAGAGGGATGTTGCAGATTCTGTCTGCTCCTGTTTTGATAAATTCCCCCCATTGTATCTTTGTAGAGACGGCAACCAATCAGCATCTCTTCAGTTTTTTCAGTTAAGGTTTGAATATGAAAGAGAGAAGCTGATTGGTTGCCATGCACCGGATTATGTCTGCTCCGATTTTGATACATTCCTTGAAACTGTAATTTATGCGGTTATGTATAAGAATTAAGCCTATTCGGCGTTTCAATTTTTTTCTTTCTCCCCTGGTGCCCAGATAAAGTTAAGAAGTCCATAATGTATCCAAAGCAAGTACATGGTATTGCACACACTGCTGATTCAAACATATAATTTGATGTCAACAACTTCAAGATCTATATGCAACAGTAACATTGTTTGCTCTTCTTATTTTACAGTTTGCACTGCATACTTCTACGAGGTAGCGGCTCCTTTAGTTATATATATTCAACAAGCCACCAGCTGTGCAAGATCAATTTTGTAATTAAAAACTATAGGTGGAGACAGTGATACAAGTGGTCTTTAAAACTTGCTAAGTAAGATGTGACAGAAGGAATAAGCGATAAGAAAGATTTGTGTTTTCACCTCATATTTATAAAACTAAGACCACCAAATTCAAAAAAAGGAGAGGGGATTCTATCTGAGGGCCGGTTTGGAACAGCATACCCCCGCAATTGCGAGTACTTGTATTTTAGGTAGCCAAAAGGCTAGGGGTTCTTCTGCATCCTCTGACTGGTGTAACTTAGTTTATCTTATAAAGGGGAAGTTTGTGGACTCAACATAAGCTTTAACATGAAGACAATAATGATATTTTCATTTCTGGTACATTTGGATGTGAAGCCTGTTTGATAAAACATTAACAAAGAGTTCAGTTTTAGCCCTTGTACGCATATATCAGATATCATATATATTGATGGATTCTTAAGGCAAAAGAAGAAAAAAAATTATACAAATAAGTACAGAGTCAATCAAACTTATGAAAGTATGCGGAAAACTGGGTATATTTACAATGGCATGTCAGCTGCTGCTCCACCACAAGCCAACACAGATAGTGATATTGTGTGAAGCCTTGCTTCTATTAGTCTTAAATTACACCCAGTTCTGCTGCATCACGAGATTGCCCAGGATATGATGCTATGTAAATCCACATCGCCAATTGAGGGCTTTAATAAAGAAAGTACATCTGAATTCTGGAACCATTGAGAAATCTTGTAATACCTTGCATAGATCAGCAATGAAAATACTGGTGGAACTCTGTATATTGTTTTTGGTGTCACATTTACTTTCTTTCCAGAATCCAAAACAAAATGGTCAATTGTGACAATTTAGAGCCTTTTTGACTTTCCTCTTTTTGATTTGTTTTTCCCTAAAGGTAACTGTACCTGAATTGACTGGGTCCAATACATTTATCATATCTGTATCTGCCACAGACCGAGATTCTGAGATCTATGGGCCTGTTTCGTACAGAATTATTTCTCCACATAAAGGATTTGTAATTAATCCAACCACTGGTATGTAAACAAATTTACATTTTGCTCATGTTGCACACGTTTGAGTCAAAGAACAGCTAATGTTTTTATCAGGTACTGTAAGGTTTTACAAATAATGCTTTATTTATTTACAAGACAATCTTGTCTGACAAATGTTTTTATGTTTTTTTAAACAAATTTAAAATAAACTACAAATATTTTTTCATTTGTGCAAACTAATCTCAGGTTAATAGTCATGAGCCAAAATTATCATTACAAACACTAGCTACTTCTTCCTACTTTACTGTTAGAAAATAGTACCCTGTGCAAGGCATACCCACACAAATATTTTTTAGTGTAAAGGGATTCTGATCACACAGAGTCTGCTACTGTTTTATTCCCTAAATAGAAATTCTTCTTGCTTATTTTTATGGATTTAAGCGTTGGGGTGGAAATGGTGCTTTGCCTCATCAGTACAAATTTTGAATAATATGAGTCAAGACTACTAGGAGTGTTAATGGTTAATTTTCCTGTTACTGAATGTAGCAAATATTGCAGCGCATTTCCATTACAACCGCTTTTGGAGTACACATTTGATGGTTGGTCCAGTTTTTTTCAACCACAGACCTCAAGGACTGCTAAGTATGCATATTTTCCAGATCACTTCACTGTGTCAAGGGTGAAATAATTAATAAGTTATATGGAATGCTGTGATTTACAAACAGGCTGCTACTGGGAAATGGGGAGAACATGTACTGCTAGGTATTCCTTAGGATAAGACTTTAGAATTTATTATAGTCAGCTTGTGGGTTATTTATACAACTGTTGTGCAGTGAATACCAGATGGTAGCAGTTGACGTACAATATAAGTCAACCCAGCCCACATTTGTGTGCAGAACCAATCTTTGGTAAGCCTCAACAAAGAAGGGAGCAGGTAGCAGGGGAGTGTCTTGCCTTGCTCTGCCTGTGTGTTTGTGGAGACACACACTGTTTACTAGCACACACGAGGGTGACTCCTTAGGACCCTACAAGAAAAAGGAGCCACCCTAAAATTGGATATCAGGGCCAGTGCTCAGGGAACCAGCTGATCCTGCAGGAAATGAAAACTTTTAAACATTAGGGAGCAATATCCATTGTAAGTGATTTAATCAGCATTGGAAATAGCTTTTTGACTTTAAAACCTTTTGACTTCAATATCACTTTAGGGTATTATCTACACCCATCTAAGTCAATCCTTTTCTCTAGATAAGCAGGCTATTGGAAATCCTGTGCCCAGTCTTTAAACTCAGCTTTCTTGATCTGCTGTTATGACTTACTGAACTGAAGAATCTGTAAGACAAATATGCTGAATTTAATGACAGTTATTAACCTAATATTTATCTTTTTCAGGTTCAGTACACACTGATACTCCAGTGGAAATTAAAGAAAAGAATACAGTGATTCCTATTCTGGTAGAAGCTAAGGACAATGGTTTCTCAGTTCTAACTTCAACTGCAGTTATTGAGCTGCAGGTTCATGATACCAATAACAATGCACCAATATTTTCAGAAGAGGTCTACCAGATCTCTGTAAGTGAAAATACATCAATTGGGGAAACCATTCTCACTTTCACAGCCACCGATTTGGACTGGACCCATGAAAATGGATACATTGACTTTACTATTGCTGGTGAAAATTTAAGAAATATGTTTGTTGTGGAAAGTGTTGGAATTCTTTCCCAGCCTCCTTTTGTTGTTACTGGAAAACTAGCTATAAATGGGATTTTAGACTATGAAACCAAGAGAAACCATAGGCTACTTTTAATTGCCTCGGATCGAGGAGTCCCTATTTTAAGTTCCAGCGCCACTGTTCTGGTATCCATTCTTGATTCAAATGACAATCCTCCCATACTGCAGAACAGTGAATACCATGTTAGCATCCGAGAAAGCCATCCCATAAATAGTGAAGTGATTGCCATTTCAGCCAATGATTTTGACAGTGGAGAGAATGCAGAAGTTTTTTACAGCATAGCATCTGGTAACGATGAAGGATTTTTCTCAATAGATCCAGGAAATGGTACTGTCACATTAGTACATCATCTGGATTATGAGGCTGCAATGATCTATACTTTAATTATAAAAGTCGCTGATGGCTGGGGAAATGGAAAATATGATGCCTTTTCAAAACTCTATATAAATGTACTGGATGATAATGACTTCACTCCAAAATTTCTGTTCAACAGTTTAAGCTGCAGTCTGCATGAAAACATGCCCCCTTTTACACCAGTGTGTACAGCTAATGCCATTGACTTAGATTCCGGACCATTTGGTGTCTTGAGTTACTCTATTCCTTCAACTTGCCCAAACGAACCCAAAGGCCAAGATTCATTTTTCATAGACTCATTAACTGGGGATATTTATACCAAGTATAAAGTTGACTTTGAGTCACAGAAGAGATATTGCCTTATAGTTCAGGTAAAAGATAAAAGTGAATCTACAGCTTGTATTCTGGTGTATGTGGACATTAAGGGACAGGATGAGTTTCCACCTGTGTTTCATGAAGATCAATATTTATTTGACTTGCCTCAGGAAAATAAACCTGGAGAAATTGTTGGTATGGTGGGAGCTTCTGACAAGGATGAAGGAGATGATGGTGTCATCCAATATTCACTTGAAAAGCCCTCACAGTTTTTTTCTGTTAATGTTACCAGTGGATTTATATATCTAACCAGAAGTGTTCATAGAATGAGAAGTAACACTAAGAAAAATTATGACATTATGGAGTTTGTAGTAAAAGCTCAAAGCCCAACGCTAGACTCAAAGTCATCAACTTGTACTGTTCGAGTTAACATTTCAACAGCACTAGAGGGCTACTTCAGCATGTCCGCAAACATACTTTCCATTAGTTTCAGCATTTCATTTGTGGTTTTCTTGCTGCTGGCAATAAGCCTTATTGGAATTATTCTAAGATATAAGCACAAAGATGTAGTAAATGATTGTGGGATAAAAGAAGCTGCCATCCCTGCACTTCCCAGTTCAAATGTTAAGGACTGCATGCCTGATGAATGTCAAAAATATGAAAATATTAAGAACGGCATAGCTCCAGACACATCTGAGTGGTTAGGGTTAGTTGGCATCAGAGAAAAGAAAGACACTGGGAACAAATGCAGGAATTCAGACTCAAGTGGTCATGGCTCCACAGAAGGGGAAACTGCTGAAGATGAAGAAATAAAGATGATCAATGAATACCCTATTAGAAAAGAATCTGGCTCTGTCCTGAGTGAAAGTGGTTCACGAGTTCCAGACTCTGGAATTCCAAGAGAGTCTGATCTGCTTTCATGTGAGTCCGGTGAAACAGATGTGGTGATTGGGCCAGAAAGGAATGAAAGTGTTGAGATCCTGAAAGAGGAAAATGGAAATGGAGAGGGCCAAGTACATTATACCTGCAAAAAAACCGAACTGCCAACAACCCACCATAGCAATGACACAAATGCAAAAGATAAAAACACATTGCAAGATGTCAATCAAGACTATATTTATGTCCCCATGTCATATGATTCTAGGTATGGTTCTCTGGCATCTTTAGTAGCTTCTGATGAGGACCTGAGAGGAAGCTATAACTGGGATTACCTGCTTAGTTGGGAGCCCAGGTTTCAGACTCTTTCCTCTGTTTTTTGTGACATCGGCAGGCTAAAAGATGAAAATATGAACAGAAATGTACAGAAACAAAAGAAACCTTTTGTTTTCCCACCTCCTCTTATCACATCTGTTGCACAGCCAGGGATAAGGGCTGTTCCACCTCGAATGCCAACTATTATGTCAGGACAAACCTGTGTAAAATATCCTCGTTCTCCTTTTTTCTCCAGTCTGGCATGTCAGTCTTCAACCATGCCCCCAACCTTTTCTCCTTCCTTATCCATGCTCACAGTCCACACTCCTTCCACCTCACCTGTGCTATCAGGTCTTAGTGGAACTTCAGTGCCTGCTCTCTCTGAAGAATTGCTAATACAGCAAGAGTTTCAGGTGTAAAAAATTGAATGTTTTCCATTATGAACACTTACAAGGACCAAAAAGGGCATGTCTAATCTAATCTGTCTGACTCTGCATTGTTTGTCAGTTTTAACATTTTTACTACCTACATGATTTGGTATAATATACATCTTAGCCAATCAAAAAGTTTCAAGTAGGTGGTTGTTCTGGATTTTACTTGCAGGCTAGCATTTTGCTTCCCGTGTCCAAACATGTCCCATGTATGGATCCCTGGAATCTCACAACAGTGCATGAAAAGTTTCAATCAAAACTCATGTGTGCAAACAGTAACTTCATTGTAACTGGCCAGTATTTACCAGCATTTAGAAATATAGTAATACTACCATTAGTAGAAATGAATATTTATGGACTACACTATAGAATTGTGTACATGGACTAGATGACACATAATGCCATCTATAAAATAACTGACATTTACAGTTAACTAAATAACTGTAATAAAAAAAATCCTTACATTTCCCAAATCTACCTTTCTGGCAAATTTGATATTGAAATGCAGAATTACAAAACTGTGAACTGTGTATATGGCATTTAGAAGCTTGTTCCATTGTGCTTGTGATACTCTTATTGTATTCTGGGAGCCCAATAGGAAATAATGAACCCAGGAAATCCAAATAAAAATAAAACAATGGGGCATCTGGAAACACATACATTGATTTGTCTGGGCTGTCATTCTTTGAATAGTCATACAGAACTGTAGGCATATTTCCACTGCAAGCAGAAAAAAAAATTAACATTTGTTACTGGGTACAGTATATACTTTAAAAGCTAGCACGTGCATAATGGAGTAAGATAGCCATGCTATTTACAAAGTCACTTATTTCGCTATTCAGCCTTATACTAAGGCTCTGATTGGTGGAAAGGTCACATTGTTTCATATTTCTATAACTGTCAATATCGGTGCACTATTTTATTTTCCTATAAACAGTGTTGTGGAACATGATAGAGCTCATTGTTATAAACGAATCCAGCAGGAAAGAAATGTATGCCTCGGCAAAGATAAATAATGGAGTAAAGAATGTATATCTAATTATGTGCCACTATCAGTGATGGTCATACTGTCGTAGTGGAATTCATTTATGAAAAACTGTGGACATTAGGTTGTTTGCCCATACCAACTAGCTGCTTTAAAGGTATACCATGGTTAAAATGAAAAAGTATAATTGAACTGCATGGAGGAACCTGAGCCTACCTATCCAGCGGGGATTCTACTTCACCCAGGCATATGGATAATGCACTCTGAATATCAGAGCCTCCCCTTGTCACCACAAAAATGTCATCTCATGGCCACCTCCACACTCCATCTGGTCTTTCATTGTCTGTACTCCTCCCTCTGCTACCATTCAGATGGCTAGGTAACACCTACTCCAGCCTGCAGCACAACTATATATAGATTTCATCTGGCAGCAAACCAAAGTAGCACAATCATACTTGTGTACTAGGAGCACAGCACATAATCATGTGACAAGAGGCTGCAAATCCAGCCATACGTTTTGTATAAACCTTGCTAAATCTGGATGCATTTGGATGATACAAAAATAAGATTACATTAACCGGTGTGGACTTTGGTAAAGTAGGTATACTCTGGTTGCTATGGGCAGCAACTCCGTTTTCAAGTAATTTGTTGTTTATAAATAAGGTCCATTGTATTTTTAAGCTTTATATTAATGCATCATACTTTGATGAAAAGTTTGTATCATTTATTTGTCAATTTGTAAACTAGAAAAATATTGAAACAAAATACAGATGATAGATTTGTATTATTCTTTTATATTATAAAATCAATACATGATATATAATCATGGATGATACAAAATATGTTGAAAAAAGCTTGTTGTGTTTCTTTAGCGGGCAAAAAAAGAGACATCTTCTGCGCCATAAAGTTTTTTTGTAACTTGAATGTTTCATAATCTTCTGAAAATTTGGAAACTGCCAAATTCAGTTTTAACAGAAAAAGTTAATTCCTTACAATGTGCTGTTTAGATCATAATGCATTAGTACCATCATAAATAACCCCATGAATATACAGACTTATAATGTGTATGTTTATGTATTTAAAGCAACATAAAAAATAATACATACACATTTGAGTACGTGCAAAACTATGTGTGCATATAATTGCAAAGTAAGATTGCAATTGCAAAATATTGAACAGAACTCCATGTTTGCCGATTTCATTTGGAAATACATTGTTGTGTATCTAGCACTGACTTTCCCTGCAGGTTTCTCATCAACTGAAGATGGGAAGTAAAGTTGAACCTATCACTGCGAGTATTGATAGCCCACTTCCTTGACCATGTGCTGCCATGCCATAATAATGTCATTCCCCACACCCTGACTCAACTTCTTGGTCTGGCATCACAGCTCTTTCCCTTTCCTTCTACTGTCATTTACTAACAGAGACACTTATGGAACTATTTTGATGGTGCTAAATGACAGTTGCAGGCTGGCAGAGCCACAGGGATAAGCAGGAAAGTGTATGCTCTGAGGTTAACCAGTTATAGCAGTAGCGTCTGATGTAAACAGAGGGTGTTGGAGGAAACCCTCTGTTTTCTCAGGTGCATTTACTGATGACACCTCTGCAAATCTTGCATTTTTGTTACCAGTAGGAAGTATGTATTTATGTACTGATGAATATCTGGTTTGCCATTAGCCTTATACCAGTATGGGAAATTGGAAAATATTATTTAAATACTTGCAGTATTTTCTTTCCTGACAAGCACCATGTCAGCACACAAATGGTTAGACTTTACTCTCCTATACCCCCCTAGGACCATATGCCAATACATTTTGAACCTGGCAAGCCCACGGCATTCTGTAACTAGCCTCCATGAAAATGGCTTATGTGCTGTCAGAAAAGGAAAATTATCTTAAGTATTTAAATACAATTTATCAATTTACTGACAGGTCAATGTCAGAACACACAAATGGGAAATAACTAGACTAACCAGGTAGGGAATTAATTAATTAATTATTTAATTCTATTCATTAACATTGAAAGTTTTCGAAATAATTTCATAGCCAAATTTAACCATGGTTAAAGAAGCGGGCATAACACAGTAATGTGAAATAAATGTGTTGCTTCTTTGCAAATCATATCCAGGGAAACTCGGGAGGCTGTTGCCCAGGATGTTGACAAGCTCTTGATCAAATGCACTGTGACTCCCTTGTATGGTATCAAGCCCTTTTCCCTATATGCCGTGAATATGGTTTTCACCATACAATTTGCAATAACTCTATATGAGGCCTATTTTCATGTGTTCTTCCCTAAGGAGATGACAAACAGGAAATCTAATGCTCTGAATGCAGCTGTTGTGTAATTGATGAACCGGCCGAAATTCATTCAGTGGGTGGCCCTGCTGCAACCCTTCTATCTGGCATCACTCAATCAAATAATCAAAGAAGCATGCCGGGAAATTTTCAGGAAAACTGCAACAGCAGCCAATTGGGTATTTTGACAGCGGCATACTCGCTGCTGTCAGAATACAATAGCCCAGCAGGAGATTTATCCAGCCACACTTAGCGTGGATAGAGGAATCTGTTATATTTTTTTCGTTCAGTCCACAGGTTAAATGAAAAATATATAACAGTGTATGGCCAGCTTAAGTTTTCAGGGTTTGACTGACGTCAAGCTAACTGACTTGTTAACCCCCTGTACCATTCAAAATCAGCAGAACTGTTCCTTGTTTAGGATGAAACAATGAAACCTTAGATGTAAACCCTAGCATTGGGATGAGTACAACCTTGTCCAGAAAAAGGTGACACATAGTTATTTCCCTACTAAGGCAGCCATCTCTGAAACTCTTTTTGCTGACATAATCGCTACTAGAAAAGTTACTTTTAAAAAACATGCCAGACTGCTCTGGTAATATCTGCATTGAACTGGTCTGAGGCTAAAAAGTCCAGAATTAGAGGAAAATCCTATTTTGGAAATAATTTCTAATCAGATTGAGATGTAAGAATTCAATTATCAGTTTATGGGTTGCCTATTGGATCTTTACAACTGGTGGGAATGCATATGCCGACTTGAAGCCCCATTTGCACATTAGTGCGTCCACACCTGTTCCCAAGCTTCAGAGGTTTGTGATAGGTGCAAGAGGCAAATAGCTCCACCCCTGGAGTGATCTCTGTGACCATCTTTTTGAACAATCACTGAGAGAGAAACTATTCATTGTTGTCTATTTAGGACCTCAACAAGTAGTCTGCTTGGACAATCTGAACCCCCTGGATGTATACTATTTTTTTTTCAGGGAAGTAAAATAGTATTCTGGGAGGTATCCAAAAGAGCTCCCAAAAACATTAGACTCTGCGCAGGCTTTCTGGATTTAATATCCATCCAAAGTGTGCCAGGTTCTTGAGCACTAGATCCCGATGGGATAAGATGCGTCTCTTAACTCTAAGTGTCTTTTAAATCTGTCTAAATAAGCCAGTCTGCTGATTGCACAGAGTGTTGGATTGTTTGTAAGGATTGCATCTTAAAGTGCCCAAATAGATTTTGTAGGGACTGTTAGATCTATCACCAGTCTCTGGTCTCCCGTTTTCTTCTGGATCATAAAGAAGGGAGACTATTTGTCTTTGATGCATTCAATTTTGGTAACTTTAATTGTGGCTTTTTGCATAAGCAAGGCATTGATGTATTGATAAAGAATTGTGCACTTTTCTTGAAATAGCGATACCTTAGTGGGAATAAACATCAGCTGAGGGCCCTTGCGAAAGTCCCATGCATGACCTATTGAAATGGTCTTCAGCACCCACAGATACTGCATGTTGTCTGGACTAGAACTGCCACAGATGACCTGGTCCCAACCTGGCAAACTGGGTAGGGAAACCCTCAAAAGATTTTTGAGAGTCTTGGGCCGCGGTGAAGGTGGACCTCCAGGATCTGCAATATTTCCTTCCTCATCTATAGGTCTGCACCTCTTTCTCGTGATATTGTGCAGAGTGCATAAACTGAGGTTTCTTCTGCCTGGGAAAATGTCTGTCTTGTGAAATGAGTCCTGACTTCCCACCAGTTGGCTTTGCAGTAGAAAGGTTCAACTTGTTTCCGCAAACAGGATTTAGAACCAACCTTGCTTTGAAGTTGAATCTGCCACCAATGGACTGAGCTAACCACATCTGTTTGGCTGTAATGGCCCACAGTATTGTTCTGGTCACTGAGTAGATAATATTTCTGAGGCTTCTGCCATTAAGGCTGACGTTAGCTTGAACTCTACTAGTGCTGTTATGACCTCAAACTTACTCAGGTCAGTGGACATGGCTGAATTCCCTTTGTCTGACCATAACTCCAAGGCTGTATAGACAGAGCTACAGTGAGTTTACATGCCATGCCAGCAGTTAAATAGATTTTCTGCATATTGTGATCAATCCATCCAACAGCACATCTCTAAAAGATACTGTGTTGTCGAGGGTAAGTGTAAATTGTCTTGCCAGCCTCATCAAGGCAGCATCCCCCAGAGAAGAAGTTTTAAGATTTTTAACCTCGCCCATGCTTAGTGGATATAACTTGGAAAAAAATAGTTTTTTTCTTCCCCTGCTCCTTTAATCCATTATGATTTATTTTAATTCATCTATT